AAATCGCACATTTTCACCATTCCGGACCCGGATCTCAGTTATGCATGGACGGATTTTGTTCAAATTTGGTACATACATTAAACATAATAGGATCTTGATAAACGTCATTTTTTTTTCGGATCAAGTTTGAAATGGCCGACTGGCGACCATTTTGTTTTAAATAATTCAGTTCTGGATTCGTATCCAAGACATGTCTGGATTGATCAAGTTCAAACTTCGCACACACATGGTACATCAATGTCACAAATAGATATGTGTATTTGTTTCATGATCCGCTTAACAATAGCTGAATGATGGCCATTTTGAGGCCGAAAATGCATCAAAATCACGTATTTTTACAATTCCGGAACCGGATCTCAGTCATGCATGGATGGATTTTGTTCAGAATTTAGTGCATATATTAAACATAATATAAGCTTGATGCACACCAATTTTTCTTCGGATCAAGTTCAAAATGGCCGACTGGCGGCCATTTTGTTTTAAAGAATTTAGTTTTCGATCCATATCTCGGACATGCCTGGACAGATCAAGACCACACTTCACACACATCATACAATGTGTTGTACATATGCAGGTGCATTTCAGATGTATATTTCACTCAAATATGAACGGAACGGGGACGTGTCATTGACAATGACTTGTTTCAATGAATCCTGGTACATAAATAGTCTAAGACAATGTGACAATCTAATTAGTTTTGGGTTTATATACATAAACATAAATAATTCCCTAATTTGCATAATGATTTATTTTTTGGCTGCCACCAATTTTTTTCAAAATTAAAAATCATTACATTTTAATGAAACTTAGTACATGTATGCCCTGGAACAATACACAGATCTAATTAGTTTTGGATTGATATCTATTGCTTAATTTACATAATTATTACCCAATGCTTTTTCAAAAAACAATTATTGCATTTCAATATGGGCAATTCTCTGGTGACGACATTACATTCAGGGGGGTTGGAAGTTATTTGAGTTGTCCTTATTACCTCGTAGAATTTGATACTGTGTCGACAGTGTTATAGACTTATGCCACTAGCATTCTCATGCCAAGAGGAAATATCCTTAGCTTGACATACAGCTTGAGGGTAATCAGAAATGACGTGACGGACGTTATATCAAAATGACATAGGAAAAAACTTGTAGTTTTACATTTGTATTTCTTTCCTAAAAATTAACTCAATATGGTCACAGAAACGTACAAATTGCAATTTACTGTCAAACCCCCGAACCCTACAAAAATATATTACATAACAATGTGATGGACGTTTCGTTCTTGAATTCAGTAAGTTTTCTTACATATTGAGATGTCATTTTTGAGTTTTTACTTTTCAAATAATTTTTCAAGCTTCTATTCTTTTAAAATTGATGGTATTAGCATATTAAATCAAGTAAAAATGAACCATAAAGCAACTTAAATTAAAAAGCATTTCAAGAATAAAATTACTCTTATCTTAGTGGTCTAAAGACTTGAAAACATGTAACATTCCATACTTCCTCGATCATAAGCTCAGGGGGCGCAACATGTAAAAAACGGGGGAAAATGAGGGGTGGGAAAAGTAAAACGATGTCCAATGACCAGGTTTCATGACTTGACGGTCAGGTAGACTCCCGGTAACAACACCCTGGGCCTATAACCTTGGATGCCCTCAGCTTAAATGCCTAAAAATAGAGGAGTGGGCTTATACTCTGAGAGAGGCTTATGATCAAGGAAGTACTATATTTGAAGACACATTCATGAAGAAAAATTATGGGTCTAATTCAGATCAACTTCTTTCTGGGAGGCTGGGGGTCTTGTGAATAAATTCCTACCATGTATAGAATAAAATAGTGATTTTTTTCCCTCATGTCCCGCAAGCTGTGGAATTGTCCAAAAGACGTGCCTGGGAACAATGCTTAAAGACCTGATTGTTTTAAATTGAAATTTGAGCATACTAGTTGCCTAATGTGCATAATGTTCACATTTCATTGAAATTTGGTTCATAAATGCTCTAGGGTAATCCACAGACATGATTAGTGTAATGTTGAAAAACATGCATATTGATTAGTTAATTATTATTGGCAAATAATCTCAAAAAATTAGATTTAAATTAAACTTTTGGTAGAGGTACTCATGCATAAATAAATAAGCCTAAACACCACACATGTAAAATAAAATTTTACAAATATTAGTTGCCAAGCTTCTTGTTTAAAAGGCTAATCTTAAATTTTGAAATAATTTTTAATACATTGTATGTCTGCACACATTTTGTATTTAATTATTATTTATTCAGTGGGCTTTTTAAAAAATTTAGTAATCGTAAAAATAGTAAAAGTATATCAAAAACAATTTTTAACAAATATCCACACAAAAAAGATCAAATTAAATTAAATTGATGGAAGACCTGACATACATATTGATACAAGAACAAGCCATGCATGGCACAGTCCCTATTAGTTATCAAATTTAAGATATATAGTTTTGTTTACAGTAATATAGTTGGAACGTAAACATGTCAGAGATATGGATCCAGAAGCTGATACTCGATTATGATGATTTTTGAACATTAAAATGATTGACAACTTGTATCTGATCGTCAAATGAGTACTTGTCCATATTGAGAGATATTGTGCTGGAACAGCATTAATTAAAACAAAATGGCCATCAGTCGGCCATTTTGAATACATCTATTGATGTATAATGAATATATAAAATTTGAACATAATCATTCAAGGATGTCAGAGATTTGGCTCTTGAAGGACATTCATTAAAACAAAATGACCACCAGTCAGCCATTTTCAGATCCTACCTAAATAAAAAAAAACGTGCATCAGGAACCCATAATGTCCATTGTATGCTTCAAGTTTGAATAAAATGGCCGCCATTTGGCCGTTTTGAATCAGATAGTCAAACTAATATATCTGTATATCTATGTCATGATGTATAATGAATATGTACAATTTTAACATAATCGGTTAAACCATGGCAGAGATATGGCACTGGAACTACATTCATTAAAACAAAATAGCCACCAGTTGGCCATTTTGAATCCGATCTGAAAAGAAAATGACATGCGTCAAGGTCCCATAATGTCCAATGTATGTACTAAGCAAAATTCATCTGTAAACAGCAAAGATCTGGTTCCGGCATTCCAGAAATACTTGATTTCAGTACAAAAATGGCTGCCATTTGACCATCTTGAATCAGATTGTGAAACAAATTGATGTGCATATGTATAATATTATGTTTGATGTATGTATGAAGTTTTCAGACTGCATATGAACAGGGACTTATAATTGATCAATTTAGTTACCAGGTTTTAAAAATACATTGTA